GCTGCGCGCGTGCACGGGCTGCTGCAGCTCCTCCGGCCGCCGCGATCGCCCGCGACCCGGTGACATTGAGGCTTCCCCGCTGCCGCCGCCGTGCTTTCCAACCCCTGGCGGGCAGGCCGACATCGCTGACTCTTAGAACTTCTTTTTCATTTAAGATTTGTTTTCCAAGTAAGATTTTTCGGTGCCTTCTTTTCAACTGAAAGTTTTCGTCTAAAGCAGGAGGTAACTTGTATATTTTAAGGAACAAGGATTGTTTTGCTTTGCTTGCTTTATTTGAAGGTCCTAAAACCTACCACGATTCTTTGAAAATACTGAGAGTTGGGAAGTGTTAGATCAACCAAGGGTTCGTTTAATTGTAATGATTTTTAATTATTGTACTAAATAGAATATATAAATGCTGTGAATCATCTTTACAAGGTTTCTGAGTTTGCTGAGTGGGGGATTGGGCTGTGTTTTTAAACACCGCTAGGTGTTTCATGCAGAGTAACAGTAAAATTCTTTAACTGACCTATTAGAAATCCCAAATGCCTTGGCTGAAAACTGGGTTATTCGGCCTTTGGGATTTGCAGCTTCCTGCAGTACACGCAAAAGAAAATACAGTTTTTAGGTACTTATTTACTCAAATAATTATCTGCCTGTTTAGCATGAGCCCAGGCACTGGGAAACAAAGACTAATGCAAAATACAACAAAGAACTCTGAAGAGTTTAAATATTTGTTTCACTATGTAATTAAATGAACACTATCCAAAAATCTCAAAGGAAGATTATAATATCTAATTTTCATCATGAATCAAGTTAGCAAAATTTGCATTACAGGATAATTAAAACTCGAGTAACATCAAATTCTGACAACACCCCCAAAATAGAATCTTACCAGTACAGCCTAGGGAATATAGTCAAATAATATTGTAATAACTATATATGGCATCAGGTGGGTACTAGACTTATCAGGGGGAATCACTCCTTAAGTTATATAAATGTCTAACCACTATTCTCTACACCTGAAACTAATATAAAATCGAATGTCAACTGTAACTGAAAACTAAAAAGTATACACATGTACATATATATATATGTATAACTACTGAATTCCTGTATTAAGCAAATCACACAGGCAATGCCAAGAACCGGTCTAGATCAAGTGGTAGTGACTTCAGGTATGTCTCCACCTGTCAAAATGCTAGCTAAGGAGAAAGTGGGCATTTTACTTAAGCCAAATATTCCAATTTAGAGACAACTAAGATCACCTGAAGAGAGTAGCTTGACTCTTTTCTGTCTTCACGAGAGGATTCTCTTGCTGTTAAGACAGCTTTGGACATGCCGGCCAAAGTAACAGACTTTCCCAGAAGGTTCATTTTAATTCACATGTAGCACAGCCATTTCTGGACTTTTTGGAATTTACATAAAAATTTATGTAAAAACCAGGAATAATTTTAAAGCTGATACTTTCACTATATGATACGTATGTGTGATGTCATATCATCATTACTCATATATCTATATTATGGTCGAAATCTCTGCACCCTATACTCTTACATTTACTCAACATTTCTCTTAAGACTCAATGGCCCTGGCCAGCTTGGCTCAGTGGCTAGAGCATCGGCCCTGAGACTGAAGGGTCCTGGGTTCGATTCCAGCTAAGGGCACATACCTCTGTTGCAGGCTCAATCCCCAGCCCAGGTGCGGGCACATGTGAGGCAAACAACCGATGTGTCTCTCACATCGATGTTTCTCTCTCCCTCCCTCCCTTCCACTCTGAAAAAGCAATGGAAAAAATATCCTTTGGTGAGGATTAAAAAAAAAAAAAAAAGACTCACTTCAATCCTAGTTCTTTTCACATTTCTCATCTGCCTAGTAAACTATTCATCTCTCAAAACCCCAATTAAATGTTACTCCTGTGGCAGAATTAACCATCTATTCTCACAGCCCTTTATCCTTCTGTTATTCTAAGTATGCATTGTACTAGATCATGAGCTCCTGGAGGGCAAAGACAATGTATTTTGTGTATCTTAAGGATATACGTAAATCTACACATCATAGACTAATTGTCATATGACAAAATACTGGACATTTCCAGCCTGCTATGTTTGGGGCCTTTGAGGCAAACTAGGTATGTTTCCAAGGAATTAAAAGGCTCATTTTCTCACCATCCCATTTCACCTTTGGCACAAAAACACTTCCTCAAACCACTTGCTGATATGTGAAGTTCCTTAAGAAGAAAGCCAAACTTTTATTCCACAATCATAGGTAAGAATTTAATGTTT